TTCCTTTTGATGGCTGCATAATATTCCATTGTGTCTATATACCACATCTTCTTTATCCATTCATCTGTCAGTGGACATCTTGGCTCTTTCCACAGTTTGGCTATTGTGGGCATTGCTGCTATAAACATCGGGGTGCACGTACCCCTTCGGATCCCTACATTTGTATCTTTGGGGTAAATACCCAGGAGCACAATTGCTGGGTCATAGGGCAGCTGAGCCCCCTGCTCTTAAAAGGTCCCCCTCCCGCAGTGTCCAGAGTCCTGCAGGCCTGGGCATGAACACACACAGGTGCATATCTGCTGAATCAGTTTTCTCTCTTCATCCCCCTCAGGAAACCACTAGGCCACGTGTAACTTAACCCCTCAGTGCTTGACAGTAAGTATGGACGCTGCGCTGCTCCAGAACGTTCTCCTCTTGGCTTTCTGCTCTCTTGGATTCTCTCCCTACTTTCTGACGTCTCTTCCGTATGCACTTCCGATCTTCCTGCTCCACCTGGCCTTCCAGAGTTTGCTCTTCTTCTGCCCCTGGCTCTCTTTGCAGTTTGCAAGAGGGGAAGCAGATGTAGATGTTCAGATGGGCCTCACAGGAAGCACAGATGAGCGACGGGGCAGCGTCGCCAGGGATGCTGGTCTTGTGCAGACTGCAGGTGGTTCTCATCCACCACGGGACACGGGGCTCCACCACACAGCCACGCCCATCTGTGGCCCAGGCTGGCCACCACACTCTGCCCGTACTTTTGAGGCTTTGACTCCACACCTAGGCTCCTTGCTGCCGATGTTTTGCCATTTCCTTGAAAATTTTCTCTCCTTGCAGTATTTTTTAAAAATGATACAAATAATGGGACACCTGGATGGCTCAGGTCATGATCCCAGGGTCCTGGGATCGAGTCCCCATCAGGCTCCTTGTTCGGTGGGGAGCCTGCTTCTCTCTCTGCGTGCAACTCCCCCTGCTGCTCTCTCTTTCTCTCTCTGACAAGTAAATAAATAAAATCTTTAAAAAAAATACAAATAATATAATTTTTTTCATCAAAACTGACCTTTGTTTTAGAAATAAAAGCATGGAAATCTATTGTCTCCAATTTCACCCTCGTCAATCCCAGTCTCCCCTCAGTGCCAAGGCCTCTTGCCTCTTTTAATGCAAAGTTGTCTCCATCTGTTTCTAAAGTTCAGATCTGTCTGTGTGTGAGTTCCCGAGCCACACCGTGGGGGCAGAAGGCCTGGATTGCTTACCTCATGTTTCCACCTGGACAGTGGTTCCAGGTACCGCTGGAGTCAGAAAGGATTTGCAGGTGCGAGCAGGAAGAGGAATCGCCCTGTGCCCAAGACTTGTCTCAGGATATTTGCTTCCTGGTGCCATTCTCTCTGAAATCCAGCTAACCACTGTGCGCAGAGTGGAGTGGCGTGGGGAGTG